ACCATCTGGAAAAACCCAAGTTGGAAATGGAATTTCACTCTCCGCTTCCCCCACCCACCCCACCAGCTTACCCGCAACACTCACATGCATCTTGGAAGCCAGTTGCCCATGTGGGTGGTTGCGGAGTGAAGTTTGATCGTTGGCAGGCTTTTTAAAGACCTACATGATATGTTGGTTTTCTAATCAGGAAAAAAAAAAATACAGGTAGCTTTACGACGCATTGACTTGCATCCTAAATATTTAGCTCTAAATTTCTAATGCTGGCAGGTCCATGTCTACATGGCTTCTTATCTCTCCAAATGAGTGGTAGGCTTTCATATCTAATGCTCCAATTTCCACGTCTCTCCTTTGATTTATGGACATATCATGGAACGTAAAGAGTTGGCAGAAGACCTTAAAGGCAAGCTCATCTCAAAGCATCTTGTTACAAAATTGTTCCAGCTTTGCTTGTGCAGAATTTATTTGAAGCAACCAGTTTCTGGGTCTCCAGTAAGCTCTGTGTGATGTACTGACCTGTGTTTCTATTGGGGGATGAGAAGTTGCATTAGTGATTTGCATTGCTAAGGAGCGTGCCTGTCCTTGCACTGGAAAAGAGTCTGGGGCTACGACAGAGCACTCAGGAGTGGGCGTTCTGCTGTCAGCTCCCCTGCTCCTTCACGTAGTAGCTGAATGACTCTGCCGCTCTTAGCCTCTTGGACCCCAGGTTTCTTATCTACAAACTGGGAGTAAATGACAGTATTTATTGGAACAGTGTGAGGATTACGTAACATAAGACATAAAAAGCTCTTAAAACAGTGCTTGGAGCATTAAAAATACTCAATAAAAGTTAGCTGTTACATGACTCTAGAAAAAGAGGCATGACAATCCTAAAATAAGACTTTTCCTTTTGAAAATGATGCCTGCTTTTGGCCTTGGGATCTGCTGAGATGGTCGTGCAAAGCCTCAAGTTTAGTTTTCTTTCTTGGGTTTCTGAGCCATGGATTCTGGAGGATGTGGTCACTGTCTGCGCCTGAGCTGACCTGAGCCTTCTTTTCTGAAAGGGCATTTCATTTCCCTTAAGTTTTGGGAAGCCTCAGGCTGTGTCACCATGGCCAACAGTGTGGCTTTGTCTGTTTAAATGAAGCCCTTCCTAGTGAAAAGGCTTAGATTTTGAACCCAATGCACAAAGGGGTCCATGTAAGGGAAAGTTATTGAGAAATGACAAGAGCTCTCCAAATCAAGGAGATGTTATTCATTGTGTCTCTAAAGGAGGATAGACTGCTGAAAGATGCCTCCAGCCCACACATGTGGAGCCAGTCACTGGGTGTCTGAAGTGCACATGAGAGGCTGCATTCTCTACTGTGTCTTCCATGAGATTGACGGCTGCAAGCAAGATAGGGCAAGAGATGATTCTTGGCTTACCTACGCTGGTAGCACCCATACCAGTGGGAGAAACTAAAACTGCAAGCAGCTCTCATGCCCAGAATACTCTCAAGTCTATAAGTGTGACATAGCACTGAGCCTCTCCCCATGTGACTGCGCTCTGTCCTCCATGCAAACCCCACCCACTCAACAGCAATACTGCCTTCCAGATGGAGCTCACACATCAAGCATTGCCCTTCCTTATTGCTAACTATTTGACTCACCTATGGGGGAGGAGCAGAGGGAGGCCAGGCAGGAGGGGCTGTGTCTAGGCCACCAGAAGTGGTGTCTGAACACTCTAGTCTTATCCAGACCCTGTGCCTTGGCTGGAACTCCTTTCTTGTCCCTCCTCACTCTCATACCCATGGACATCTAACACCCTGAATCCTTCTTCTTGGTTCACCTGTATCTTCACAGATTTTACCAATTGTGTCTCCCAAATCCACTAACTTAGTACATTCTATTTCTAATACCATCGTGTACAGAATACTTCCAAGAACAGAGATATCCACGTAATTAAACTTTTATAAACCTCTAACTCAGTTGTTCACAATCCTGGTTGCATGGTAGAATCACCTGGATAAAAAAGAAAGACAAAGAAGGAAGGAAGGAAGGAGGGAGGGAGATAAAAAGAGGGAGAGAGGAAAGAAAGAAGGACAGAAGGAAAAAGAGAGAAAGAGAAAGAAAGAAACGGAGAACAGAAATGAACCGGTGGCTGGCCCACTCAGGAACAATCAGAAATCTGTAGGAGTGGTGCCTGGTCGTTGGTTTATTTGTCAAGTTCCACCAGGCAATTCGAATGTGTGTTCAAGGTGGAGAGCCACTGCTCCAAGCAGGCATACTTCATGAACTTCTACTTAACCTACTGTGTTTATCTCCTGTAACACGGTAGGTTCCCTTCTGGTGAACACCAGGCATGATACCCTATGCTAGGCACAGCTTGGACAAGGTACACAAGGCCGCTCTTTTCAGGACACTTATGGTCTAACACTCACACACACAAACTGCAAATGTACAGTCCTTAGCTTTACAGCTAAACATGAAGAAGTGATAAATATTGCCAAATATGCAGGAGTTCTGGAAGCTCCAAGTGCTAAATATTTACAAATAGGTATTAAAATTCAAATTTCCACTGATTCGCCAAGACACACATGGGGAGACATTCCAAAGCTAGATCACCATCTGCAGAATTTACAGAGGAAATTGTGAGGAGCTGGGTCTACAATCCTGCTGCATCAGAACTAGTGAGAAGCCCATGCAAGTTAAGGGATCATTCAAGAGAAACCCACATTTGCAGACAATTTCAAGATACACAACATTCCTAAAGTTTGCTATGGTCTACACGTTAAGAATTCCCAACTTAGGGTGTTTTCATCAGCACATCAAAGAGAAGACAGTCAGCTCAAGAGAGACCCTGTTTCTTTTACATCTTGGCCAGGCAAGGGATCTAAGGGAGAAGAGAAAATCAAATTTTATAGGACACCCAGGCAAGGCTACTGAAGGAATAAAATTAGATGAAGTAAATAGAACACTTTTTAAATTATTGTTGTGGTTATAGATGGGTCTTACAGAATGGGAAGAATTTGAACATATGGAGAGGTTCATAAAGGTATTTCCAATAAAGTGAACGCCACAAGTAAAATATGGGGATGTGGGGGTAAGAAAAGTCTTGTGTTCCAAAGCAAGCAAAGATTGTTCAGTTTGCCTGAGGTTAGGGCATCTAGAAGGAAACAGGAGAGAATGCTGTATGGTATCCAGAGGAGGGTCACATCATTGCATATAAGGAGTTCCTGCCAGGTGGGCGTTCCTATAACGCTTGCACTGTGGAGCTGAGTTCCTGAACTCAACCTTTAGCAATTCTGTTCTGTAAGTCTTCCTTTCCTTGTGACTAAAACCAGAAGGCAAGGCTTGGTACAGCCCAAAGAAGGATTATCCCATTTCATGAATGGGAAAGTCATCCCAAAATTCTTGTGAATTCCAAATATAAAAACAAAAGTGCATTCTAGCATCTTGGTCCCAAGTTTTCTGTATTCAAGGAAACGTTAGTTCGAGGCCCCAAGGAGACAATGGCATGTGTCTTATGAAAAGAAAGCTAAGAGAGGGAATAAATTCACAGTGGCTGATGCGATTTGTTTCCAAAGCTTATCACAGCGCCTGTTTCTCAAAGGGTTAAACATCTTTCTTTCGGAAGCCAAGAGAGAGTGAGCCTTGCAGGGTTTGGAAAGCAGCTGCCACTTTCCCGCAGTCATTGCTCACAGTCCCTCGCAGCTGCTCCTGTTCTGTGTGAGGGATCACTGCTTAGGCAGAAAGTTAACCTCTGGAATCGGGGCTCTCTCCTTGGAAGGTCCTTCTGATCTCTTTCTCTGTTCCTTGCCCTCCTCCTCCCTCTTCGCCTCCTCCCCCTCCTCCTCCTCCTCCTCCTCCTGTCTTTCTTCCTCCCTCTCCTCTTCCTCCTCCTCCCCTCTCCTCCCTTTCTTCATTATAGTCACCCCTGATATTCCACTATTCCATCTCATCCCTTACTTTGAGAAGAAAGCTCCCTGGAAACCCCACCATTTATCTCTGAGCTTCTTATTGATAAATTTGCATGGGTTTCATGGTGTGATAAAGATGTTTCAATAGCTTTGTCATATATAAAAGGCCAAACTTTATATTCCTAAATGTCAGACGCTGGTAATCATTTTGCAATTATGTGAAATTTGAATCTTTAGAGACGGATCTGATAGGTGGAAGTTGCTTTGGCCACGAAGGCTTAAAAAGCATCCCTCTTAGCTGCCTCCTCTGTTAATTCCACCTGCACGTTCCTCACTTCTTCCCTTAGGGAGTGGCTGGCACCACACCTGCTTTTTCTACCTGTCGCGTAGGAGAGCAGGCATTTTATAAAAGCTGACTAGGAAGAGGCAGAAAAGGTAGCCAGTTAATTAAACTAACATAAATAGCTGCAAAAATCATCTTGATATTCTAAATTGGATTCATTTTCACGTGTGTTTATAGAGAAATCCAGAATGTCTAAGAACTAATAATTGTCACAATTACTGCTATCTTCAAGTAACATCTAGCTACTTCTCTACGCTCATTACCTTGCATCCCATGGCCCCGCACTCCTGTTCATGCCTCTCCTCTGATTCTCTGCAATGCTCTCTCACCCCCACTGGATAACAAAGCCACACCACCCTTAGACACATTTAAAATTCTGTGCACCCAATTTGAACGGACTGTGGCTTTGGAAAATCCAGTATAAACAGCATATAAATTTCTGGGAGTGAGGGAAAGAATCCTACTCTCCTAGATGGAGAACTGGGAAGAAATCATTTAGGAAATGCAATCACCATTTTCAGTAATTATCCACAAATATCTACCCCAGGGAAGCAGAGCCACTCACAAAAGCAGGAGTTGAGACGCTTGAGTGATGGTGTCTAAGGCCAGGCAAATGCCATGAATCATGTTCAAGTTGGTTTGTTCTCTTGGGAATTGCATCTCTGAAACGCTATTTGCGGGGGTGATGGGAACACATGTGAAATAGTCAAGTGCTGCCCATTGCCTGCCCAGCATGCCCACACTCTAGTCCCTCAAAGGTGTTCTCCTCTCCTTCTCTCCAGTGTGGATGGCGCCTCCTATGAAGTCATGCAGATCGACATAGAAATCGAAGAGCCCAGTGACATGCCCACCACACAGCTCGTCACATGGCAGGTTGAATATCCAGGAGACATCACTTCTGACTTGGGTGTATCCAAGATCTACGTGAGCCAAAAGGACTTGATCGCTGTCATACCTCTGGCCATGGTAAGGATGTCCCTGCCTTGGGCTGTTAATGCAGAAGTCGGGGAAAGGGACGCTCAGCACTGTGACCCAAATGTGATGGGAAAGGGCAGTGAGCCGAGAACCAGGGTTGGGGAGAAACTGAACCATGAGGTCTACTGCAAATCACGAATTCTAAAAGTATATTTTTCTAAATAATATTTTCAGAATATTATTTAGAAAATAATCAAACTCTGGATGTTAGATTTGAGTCTTCCATTATATGAAAAGTATTGGTTATTTAATAAGTGTGTTTGTATGATACAGTGTGGACTATTTAAAGGTCTCAAACACACACACCCTCAGAGACCAAAAAGATCAAGTACGTGAGTGAACATGGCAGGTCCTTCACAAACACCTGTCCTGTGTAAAAGCTCCGGCCCATGTCTGCCATGCAGGAAAGCTGAACCAGGTTCTGAATTCTTAAGATCTCCTGATTTCTCAATAGAAGCCATAAATATAGTTTTAATGTGAAATGTCAACTTGTTCATGTTGGAACTCATTTTAAAAATAAACAAAGCACTTTATAGGAAAGAGTTGTCTAAATTGCACTCATAGGCCATCTATTTATAACCTGTAATCTGAAAGATTTAGGACCATAAGTCTGTCCACGTCTTTCCTAGGGTTTGTGGAACAGAGATGGGCTTTCATCCCTGGAAGGACCAGCCCCTGGTTTCTACGCCACATAATACATTGCCTGTGGGAGACTAATCCCCCACATTCACCTCAACAAAACACACAACACCTTGTATAGCCCTGCCTTTCTGTGGGACTCTCTGGAGCCCCTACAAAGGAATAATATGTTTCCTTAATGTGAATTTTCACAATGGAAATGTTTGGGCACGTTAGTCTGCCGATAATAACGTGAGCTTTCTCCTGTTACAGAAGTACTTTTACTGTCAGAAGTGAAGTGTGAGTTGACCTATCCATTGAGTGCCTGGTCTCTCCCCCTCACCATCTATTAGAAACTATTGACAAGTGTTATTATGCAGTGATGAAAGAAAATCAGGAATCAATCTTTCAGTGAAAGATACCATGGACAGTTGCCTAGTGACGACAAGTTAGTTATTATGCTGTTCGTTAGGAGATGTAAAGGTGTTTGGGTACTTCTGTTGATAAGGACTCTTATTAACTATTTCTTTTATTTTAAAGGCACCAAGCCTCCCTTGGTACATTTTTTCACGTGTGACGGTCGCTCTCCTTCATTTAGGCTATTAGTGGTTCTATTACTAGGGATGGCAAGACCATTTGTCTTGAATAAGTAATTATTTGAATTTGCTCCTTTTCAGCACCTTTGGTCTGATGAGCTTTTAGCAGTTCTCTGAGCAGCTTCTGTTGTTTTGCTGAGCATGGGCCAGTAGACTGTTTTCTGCACTCAGCATTTCTCCCGCCTAGAATGTGCCTAGTGCTCCTGTTGCCTGTTCCAAACCCCGTTGTTCTTCACGACCCACAGAAATCCCCACTCTCACAGGAGCCCCTCTCTCTGCCCTCACGGGTCTCTGAAACTGTTCTCATCAGCCTTTCTTGCTATGATAAGATGTAATGCTATAAGATTGTATAATGGCAGAGCTAGAAAGAATCTCAGCTAAGACCTAGTTGACCTTTTATCAGTTGGGAATTAAATTTGGCTGAAAGCAAGAGAGCTCCCCACTCACCCACTCCACTCTACCGTGGCCAATGGTGGCTTAAGTACAAATGTGTTTTGTTTTTTTTTTCCGTGTAAAGGAACTCCTAATGGTGATGGTCTAGGGCTATTGTGATGCCTCATGCCATCTGGAGCGCAGGTTCCATCTTTATTTCTGCTTCAGCTGCCGAGGGCATGGATTCCATCCTCATGGTTACCTCATAGTCCAAGATGGCTGCTGGAATGCCAGCCAGCATATCCGTATTCTGCAGACCAGAAAAAGTAAGAAATGTGGAAATCAAACAGGGTCAGTTCCTTTTCCCTTTCAAGAAGCCTTCACAAGAATCCAACACAATGTTTCTGGTTACATCCAATTGTCAAAAACTTAGTCACGTGGCCCTACCTAGTTGGAGGGATGGCTGGTAAATCTATTTTTTAGCATGGCACATACTCAGATTCTGTTTCAAGGAATGAGCAGTACTTTCCACATGAGGAAACTGAAGCTATTGGTCTTTGTGAGCCTCCTAGGAAGCAAAATAACACAACTCAATCATGGTCTCTACTGACTAGCTATGCAACCATACTTAATCTCAGTGTGCCTTGGTTTCCTCATCTATAAAGGGAGGAAGGAGATAATTCCTACTGACAAGACTGTTGTAAGGCTAAAGTGATAACTCAAGAGTGCTTGGAAGAGTGCCCAGTCCAGAGCTAGCTACTATGAGTGCTAGCTATTATGATGACCATTTCATTACTGAATGCGAAGTATAAACCATACACTGGCAGTGATGTCGCAAATTCTTTCAGGAAAGGGACGTGGTCCCAGCCCCCATATTTTACAATATAAGACGAGTGCTAGGCAGTGTGTAGACGCTCGCTGATTCTTGAACTGAGTGGAAAGAATTGGATTAAAACACTTTGGGTCTGATGAGTTTTTCCTAATACTCTCTGACCATCTTCCCCTGGAAATAAGTCTCCTGACTCCCCATCTTCTGTACTGAGAGTGTTCTGAGTCTGCTTTTCAGAGAAATGCTTCATGTCACCTTTGACTTGTCGGTGAAAGAATTTTTGCCGTTTTAGGTGGGTTACCATCCTCAAATAGACCTTTTGCTGTTTCATTTTTACTTTGTTTTTGGTCATTGCATGTTCATTGAGAGGAATTTGAAAGGAATCTGATGTCCGTGCATCTATTTATCTATTGATTTGTGTCACAAACTCTCGACCTGGAGAAAGAGGAGGAAGGCCAGCTCACTGGGACTGTGACGAGGGAGGAGAGAGCGCCTTGAGCTGCGAGCAGGGTCACACTGGGACTTGTACGCTGAGGGAAGGAGGTGGATCTGTGAATGCGATGGGACGCCCCTGGAAGGCTCTCAGGAGGGGAGTCACGTGGACTGATTCCTGCCTTAGAAGAACACTGTGCAGAGAGTGGATTTGGGAGAATAAGTGGGGCATCAGGGAAGTAGGGCCTGTATTCTGGCTGCTTTAAAATAACCCTGATCTAATGAGCTTGGCATTTCCTTGTCCCCACCTTCCTGTCTGAATGTGGGCAGCCTGAGGCCTATCAGGTGGCTCCAGGGGGTTAGGACATAGCATCCCTCTGTCCTGTTGCTGAGTAACCCCAAAGATATTGACCTCATCCCCATGGCTCCAGATGAATAACAAGCGTGTCCATGTGGCAGCCAGCAGGAACAGGCCAAGGGGGCAGGAGGAGGATGTGCTCCTCTGTGTGCAGGGCATGACCCTTCTCTGAATACTCTGAGCTCCCATCAGCCCACGAGCTCAGCCGAGTGACCACATCTGGCTGCAAGGGATGCTGGGAGAGTGAACTTTACCCCAGGAGCCCATGTGTCCAGCTACAAGTATATTACGGGGGAAGAAGGAAGGATTGCATATGGGGCAACACTGATGCTATCCTGGACCGCCCAGTTGACCATGGTCATAGCCGTGGAGAAGAGAGAGGTGAACTGTCTTAGGATACTTCCTAGTGGGCAGATGATAGGACTTACCAATGCATTGGATACAGGGGTGAAGGAAAGATGGGAATAAAAGATAAGTCCTAGTGTTAGGCCCTACCCAGAAGTTCCCCACATAATCTCCATGATACCACCACACAAACTTAAAATGTTTGAGATTTTCTATTATAAAATACCCTATGCTTTACATTTTTGTACAAAAATCTTTGCACACGTCTCTGATTGATTCCCTGAGGTAAACTTTTAGAAATAAATTTGAATCAAAGGATGTGAATCAAAGGATATGCAGTATTGTGATATTTTTTGATAACGGTCCCCAAACTGCCTTCTAGAAAGTTTAACCAATTTACTGTTGCACCTGCTGTGTATCATGGTACCCATTTCCCTGCAGCTTCACCAACACAGAATATTAAAATTAATAAACAGGCAATTTACTGAGCAAAAGTTATATCTCAGTGTTGCCTTAATTTGCCCTTTTATGGTTACGTTCTATATTTCCGTAATAAACATTTGTTCTTAGTGCACTTTATTTTCCTATTGGGAATTCAACTTATTATTATTTTGTCATAAAAAAGTCTTTTTTTTTATTGTGGTAAAAAATGCAACATTAAATTTACCATCTTAACCACTTTTAACTGTACGATTCATTCGTGTTAAACATATTCACCTTGTTGTGCAACAGATCTCTGGAACTTTCTCATGTTGCAACCCTGAAACTCCACACCCACGCATAACTCCTTCCCGCTCTCCTCCCCCCAGCCCTTAGCAACCCCCTTCTACTTTCTGTTTCTATTTTGATTGACATATTGCAGGCATTCTTCCTGATTTATCATTTGCCTTCTAATCTCACAGGTCATAGTTTTCAGCATGCAGAAGTTTTGGGGGATTTGTTTAATTTTTAGGTAGTCAAATCCATTGATCTAGTCCATAATGGAAATCCCTTCTCTCCTCCTAATTATGACCAAGAGGGAAAAACATGCCTGCTTTATTTGTTTTTGTAAAATCGCCAAATACTAAAATACCCACACACAGCACACTTGAATAGGTAGAACTACAGTATTCAAAAAATAATGGTGACAGTAAATACAGTTGTTATACTATTATTAAGGATTTGAGATCAATTTGCGGTGAGGCTGGTGGCCCCTCCCTCCTTGGTGTGATGTATGATTCCGTCTCCAGGAAAGCTTGGAAATGAGATGCAGTTAAGCACTTACATTCAAAGCTAATTTTCCAAAAGACATTTATTTCTTCCTCAATATTTTGCATATTTTTTCTTGAAGTCTATGGCCTTAAAAGCTTTATTTCTTTTCTTAATCCATTCATGTTCTTTCATGAGTTTGATTACATTATTTTTTTCTTTTCAGAAAATGATGGCTTACTATCTCGTAGGTAAATATATTTTTGTCCTTAGGGAGAAAATTTCGAGGAAAAGGTCATCAAATGTGCATTAACATTAATTGAGTTAGTGCGTGTCAGTGTCTGATTCTGGGGAGCAGTGTTTGCATTTCATAGAAGAGTTGGAACACATCTTTCTGCGGGGGATAGGAGGCCCGGTTTCTCAAGGATCTTCAACATTCTTCTCTCTAACTACTTCCCGAGTTCTGATTAAAACCAGTACTTTGAGCTTCTGCCAGGATTCGGAGATAATGACAATTATCAATTGATGTTTATCAATATGAATATCATACCAGCTGATCCTTTAAAGATATCAACATGTGCTCTTCCTCTTCATTTTAAAATAAAACACACGTTATTTCGTTCCCATTGGCGCTGGCAGTTCAGGTGTTATAACTGTGGTTGCTGTTGTGAGTTGGGAAACAGACGTGGATGACTCAGCTCTCCTGTGGGTTGTAAGAACATGCCCTCCTCCCATGTTGGGCCCCTGATGAGGTTCTCATTTTGCTTTGTGTCTCGGCCTTGACTACCAAGCTGTAGTTAATAGAATTGAGTTGGAACTTGACATAAAACTTAATCAGGAGATACAGTTAGGATAGACAATTATTACCCTTGAAAGTAATCAGAGGAGAACTCCTACCCTAATGAGAGATTTGGCGATGGTGACATTCTGTGATATTTACAATGACTTGAGGGTACAGACGTGCCTGCCAGACCCAGCCCTGCAGATCCTTGGGGAACAAGCAGAGAGTTTCTAAACAAAATCAAAGAGTCACATGTGCCATGTGCCCTTTGTGAAGTGCAATTTGGTATCACATTTTGAGCTTTTCCTCAAACACGACACTAATGGAAGCACAGATGTATCTCAGCACTCTCTCTGTATTGCGCACCAACCATGCCACCTCCCCCAAGGAGTCTCC